ACACGTCGAAACAATAAACAGCACACATGAAAGTGTGAAATAATGTGATAGAAAGCTATAACATAATCAAAGAAAGATCGGGCTAAGTCACGTGACCGTTTTTGCTTGTCAGATAAATGGATTACGATAATCGATTATGTAATGGTTTTGCTGTGATTTTATTTTCCTAAATATTATGTAATTACTGATCATCTCTTACCATCGTTACGCGAATCTTAGCTTTCATTAGCGACAGACTCGCCGAAAACCGTTACAATATGGGTAATTATTTTCGAAGGCGGACCGGAAATTTTCTGGTACTACAATTGTTAAGTAGGGTCCGAAAAAAAATCATATGTTGAATAAAGCTTCGCATCTGCCGCACATCTATAACTTAAAAAAATCAATCTAAATAAAGAAATTAATTCAACCATATACTGTATGTTTTTAATTAAGCATGCAAAAATTTGGATCGTAAATCTAATTTCCTATTTATGGTAGCACTTTGAAATAAGCGATCGCGTCTTATTTTTTCTGCAATAGTTAGTAAGCTTTTGATGCACAAAACCTAACTACCTTAAAGATAGTGCTATCTTTATATTGCAATATTATAACCTTTTTTTCGGAGATTCTTATCGACGAATCGGACATGTTTCTTGTTTGACACAAACCCTTTTTTTACATCACTAATCCTATAAAATTAAATCAATAATACTTAAGTTCCTTTTTTTTTGTTAATCTTATCCTGTAAATTCGTGTTGCATGACTTAATCTCTACTACAAAAGACTGTTTTTTCAACAATGTTAGAAAGATTAAATGACACAGTAGCCAAGTCAGTCTTTGGGCGGTACTTCAAACTTGCAAACAGTGGTGCCTCCAAAGCTCGCGATACCAAATTTACCACTGAGCTTCGTGCTGGGTTGGCCACCTTTGTCACTATGGCCTACATTATATCTGTTAATGCGATTATTATTACAGACTCGGGTATGGAAAGTGGAAATTCACTTCACTTTGATATTTGCACGTGAAAAAACAACAACCAATTCTCAATGTCGAAAGGTTTTTTTTTCTTAAGGTGGTCCATGCGTTTGTACACCAGCCGCTAATGCGACAGGCCCTGCGGCAGTATGTGTCGGAAACCCAGTTTATGAAGCATGCCTGTTAACAGTGAAGAGAGATTTGATTACCGCGACGGCCGCGGCTTCGTGCTTGGCAACTGCTGTTATGGGAATTTTTGCGAATTTGCCGTTAGGGCTCGCCCCAGGGTAAATAAAAATGGATCGGTAATAGGATTATTAACTAAAGATTAACTATAATAACTTTAATTGAAGGATGGGCGCAAACGCCTACTTCGCATATACAGTAGTCGGCTTTCATGGTACCGGAAAAATTTCATACGAAACAGCTACTGCTGCCATATTCACGGAAGGACTTATATTTGTTGTCCTCACAGTATTTGGAATACGTCAATGGCTTGCAAAGATTATCCCTAATTCCATAAAGATTGCAACTGGTGCTGGTATTGGTTTCTTCCTTTGTTTTATTGGATTGCAAAGAAGTGCCGGAATTGGTCTGGTAGCTTATGATTCTGCCACATTTGTCACGCTCGGAGGTTGTCCAGAACAGTACTTGGATCAAAATGGATCATGTACATCCCACCACATGGAGAATCCGACGACTTGGTTAGGGATTTTGGGATTTCTAATAATTTCTATCATGTTACTTTACAGGGTTAAGGGAAGTATATTGTGGGGAATTCTTTTTGTTAGTGTCGTAAGTTGGTTTAGAAACAGTGAAGTCACCTATTTTCCTGAAACGTGAGTGATAAAAAGTTTGTATTATTTCGAAGATGTTTTATTTAATGAAACGATTCTAACCATTTTTTTGACAGCGCTCAAGGAAACAGTCGATATGATTTTTTTAGAAAGGTTGTTAGTTTCCATCCGATTGAAAAGTAAGGATTGTTTAGAGTTCAAAGTTACACGATTAAGCGCGCATAGACAAGCTCATTGTATTTAGGACATTAGGGGCAATGCATTTTGACTACGGTAACAAGGATTTATGGGTCGCCTTAATAACATTCCTTTATGTGGACATATTAGACACAACTGGTACATTGTATTCAATGGCGAAATTCAGTGGATTTATGGACGAAACTGGTGACTTCGAAGGGTCTACTGCGGCATTTTTATGTGATGCGTCATCAATCTCGGTCGGTGCAGTTTTTGGCACATCACCTGTTACCGCATTTATTGAGTCTGGAGCAGGGATTGCGGAAGGTGGGCGGACGGGGATCACAGCACTTACAATATCGGCATTCTTTTTCATATCTCTGTTCTTTGCACCAATTTTTGCCAGCATTCCACCGTGGGCCACAGGCCCCGCCTTGGTGATTATTGGATCTATGATGGCAAAAAGTATTAAAGATGTCAATTGGGAATATATAGGAGATTCGATACCCAGTTTTTTGTGAGTATTAGTTACGTGTGAAGTTTGCCTCTTTATATGATATCTCAAATTAATTATACTTCGTGATTATAGGACCATTGCGATCATGCCATTAACGTATAGCATTGCCTACGGTCTTATCGCCGGCATCAGTTCTTATATCATTATTAACACCTTTGTGTGGTTATTGGAAAAGGTATCAGGAGGATACATAAAACACGATACATCGCTTAAAGAACCATGGGGAGAATTTATGATTGGGCCCGGTGGCGAAGGAATGCTTCCGCCATGGCTTGTTGGAGTCACATATAAGATACGAGGGATAGAAAAAAAGACGGAGGTATATGAGAACAACAATAAAACAGAGAAAGATGAAGTGGCTGTTAATGTTGAAGAAAGGGATAATACTGTAGAATGAAGTGTCACTTTCTATTTTAACATGTAATATATATTTCTACTATTGAACTGATTTTGTATTATTTAACGAAACGAATTAATTAAAAAAAAAAAAAATTTTAATTCGAGATATTGGTTTTACATGTCTCGATAAACAATAAAACGCTTTCGACGTGTTGTCTCTACGCGTTTTTGCTCATTATCAATTTTATTCCAATCGTGTAACCTTAAATTTGCTGAGAATAAACTCTCTTTTTTAAAAATCAAAGAAAACTCATAAGAAAAATAGAAAATACAATATCAATTAGTTACAAATTTAGAAACAAGTATAATAAGATAGTAAATATTTGCGAAATTGTTTTGAATTCGTACTACGTAAAAACCTTTAATTAATAACATCCATTGAGAGAGAACATATAATAAACGCGCGCAATATATACCAATAGAATGCCGACAGGAACGAGAACGGATTAAATAAATGTGTTAATCTCTTATCGTCAGTTCGTATAAGTTTGAACCCAATGTGAAACAAATATGCCAAGGATAATTATAATGCCAGAATTCTGCATACACCATTTCTTTAATAAATAGTAAGGACATATAATAGTAATGATCGCTCAATAGGTAATAAAATAAATTAGTCTGAGACATAGTATTTACACATATAAATGAAAGTCGTTGCAACCGTTTTACGGGTGATCGAGAAATGAAATTTATAAACATCTTTGGTGATTTAGTCACACTCATCGTAATCCTTTTTGTTGCTGTGTCAGTGAATGCTTGCGAAGAACCATGCCGAGTTGGAGTTTCAAAAGCCTTCGTCGATAACTGGAAGAACGAAATTTTACCCATCTTCAAAAAATTTTCAGTAAATTCCACTTTCGATTTATATAATAATACATTGTTAAATAATGTGACCACAGATGTAAAACTTCTTGGTAAAGTCCTGAGCGATGTATATGAACACACACAACAGAGTATTTCTGGTTTATCCGATATCTTTATTCCAACACTTCCCGCAATTATTGAAGACGCTATCTTTAACGTTGAACCCAGATTCAAAGGTGACTGTAATAATCCTAAACGTGTCACCCAACCTCCAGCAGGTGTCAACTGGACGTTACAGGACTGCGCAAATATGGATTACATTTGCGGTAATCCTCCATCGATATGCCATTTTCTAGATATCGCAAAGAATAAAAGTAAAAATGCCATTGCGAATGCCCTGACCACAAATTCCTCAGCGACAGGAACTTTTCTTACAACAGTTGTTGATGAAGTTAAAACCATTGCTAGTGGAAATGGGCTTCCCTCCAGTGGTACAGATTATCTTGTCACAATGGTCACTACCAATCTACAACATTGGTTTAATATATTCCCGGCTACGTTTGAATCTGTATTTTGTCCTGATGGTTGTCCTCAATATGACCAAGACATAAAGTTATTATTACTGTCCTACCCTTAATTATTTGAATCGTTCACTATATGTAGATTCTTTTGTTTTATTTGCTCAGTCTCTCTTAGCCTCTGGTCAGGTATTCGTTGAACTTATATCAACTTCCCCCCTTATAAAAATATAGTAATTCTTCGTAGAACATTTTTAAAACAAATAATTCGTGATCATTAATTTGATTTATTGGGACGAGAAAATATTAGACGAAAAAGACATTAAACAAATGCCGAATAAACTTTAGTTTACATTAATACAGTTGTTTAAATAGCAAAAATTATATTATCTTGTTTTGTACATTTCATAATTTTACTATTAAATAAATTATCAAAATTTTTTGTGATTGTAGTTACTAATCATTCTGGTTTTTGTTTTTTTGAAATAAGATCATATATACAGTACATGTACGTATATGGGCAAAGGTGACAAAATGCTATTTAAATGATATATACACAATGCTTAAGAACACAATTACAGGATCAAAAATTTCCGTTTTCCTTTGGAAATAATTGCACATATACTGTACATTCAAACTTTAATTTATTTTAAATATAATCCGTCTGGTTCAAAAAAAAAATAGAAAAAAATTATATTTTTTTAAAATATATTAAAACAATATTATTTTAATTATTACATTAATTACAAAAAAAAAAAAAATAACAATAATTAATTATTAAAATTATTTTAATATATAAATTAATTAAATAATAACAATTTTTTTGCTTTCATATAATTATAATCATACAATTCATATATAAATAAAATTTATAAAACATATGATTATCACATTATTAAAAATATTATTGTATAATATTTATTATTAACTAATATTAAACTTATTAAATTCAAAGATCATTATTTTATTATATTTGAATATATAGTGTATAACAAAACCTTTTGAAATTATTAATTATTTATTACTCAAAAACTATTGCATAGAAATCAATAAAAACTATATCAAAAAAACCTAAAATCTAAAAATTTTATTAATATAAAATTAATAATTAATTCTTTTATCTTTTTTTCAATTATTATTTCATATCTCTTTTTCATTGAATCTATAAATTTATTTAAAATCTTATTTGAAATTTTATTATATTTTTCTATTATAAACTATTCTAAGTTTAAAAAATTTTTAAATAATTTTATTTCTATATTTCTTTTAACAATAGTTTAAAAATTTTCAATAAAATTTAAGTTTAAATTATTAAAAGATTAATATATTACTTTAGAAAAATTTTTATTAACAAATAATAATAATAAATTAATTAAATTAAATTATTATTATTAATTAATTTTTTTTTTTAAAAAAAAAACATAATTTTAAAGATTTTAACAATTTTGCTTATATATTTTAAATTATTATTATATTGAAAATAAAAATTATTTTTAAACAATTCAATAATTTTTAATTTATGTTTTTGCAAAATATTAATATAAATTTTGTATTTATAATTTTTTTTTTATATAAAATTATTTCCATATAAAATTCCAATACAATCTTTAAGTATTCTTCTAACTAGTTTTACTTTTTATATCATTAAGTAACTATATTTTTGAATAGTTAAAATATTGTTTTATCAGAAAATAAAATATTTTTTTAATTATAATTAAGATACTTTTTGTTCAAATAATATAAACTTTTTATAAGCAATAATAAGTATATATAAGTTTTAAAAATAAATTATTTTTATAATTCAAACTTATTAAATATCTTGAAATTGTTATATAAAATACTTTTGATATTTATATTTAATAATTTAATTATTATAATTCTTATAAAAAGTCTTGAATTATAATATAAATATTGACCAATTGTTTTTAATTCATATATAATTTTTTTAAATTGGTCTTTATTAAAATTTCTTGAATTATTTTTTTTAAAATTTATTTTTTAATATTATAATAAATAATTGATATATTGATATCAGTTATAAAATTTATTTTATTTGTAAAATAATTCTATTCTTATATATATATATTTATTTAAGTAAATAAATATTGTCACTTTATTATTTTATAAAAATATAAAATTTTATATATAAAAAAAGTAACATCTTTTATATAATCAAATAGTTAGCAAGTTTAATACTAGCTTGTTTATGATAAACTATTTAAGCAATAAAGAAAATAAATATTAAAATCAATACATATCAAAAATAATATCGAGCAGCTATAAATATTTACTCAGAATTATATATAATAAGACTTGAAAGAAATAAAAATTTAAAAAAAAAAATACAATACAAAAAAAAATATTAAAATAATTAATTATAAAATCAATAGACCAACCCGGTCATAGTCCAGTGGGCTAAGGTGTCAGGGCAGGTCCTTAAGGTCCACGGTTCAATTCCTGCTGGGGGCAAGTAGCTCCTGTAATCCAAAAATGGAAGCATATGGATGATCCGGCGATCAGGGATCTCATAGTATTTCTGTAATCTATGGGTCGAAAGGTAGTATGATATGATTGGT